TGCATGTAAAAGATCTCTTGACAGTTGGAATTCGATATAAGAGTAGGCCGTAGGGTCGCTGATCGGGCAAAATTTCCCTCATAGCACACTGTATGGCGTCTGCCCGTCTTCATTAGCCCAATTCGGAGCAGAACAGTAGGATGTTTAACCCCATTTCATTTCATTTCATTTACTCCTATCCTCAATGTTGCCCAGGTGGCATATGTTTTCCAGATAAAGGAAGTTGGGAGATTCTTTTTTGATTTTTTAAGATGAGCTCTGGGTTTCGTGTGCTGGAAAAAAAAGTTGTGCCAACCTTTGATATTTCTTGTAAAATTATTCATGTAACTTACTTTATTAAACCACATATAAACCTGATCATTTTCTTCAATAACATTTCCTTTCTGCTTTCCAATTCAATTTGGTCTACTTCATTTTCAACAAAACCGTCTCTAGATTATTACGATGAAAGCTGGCCAAACCTTGCATTGGTGTATAAAAAATTAAATATCTTTTTGCAGTTGATTACTTTTCCGTTAAAGTAAATGCTATAGTGTTGACTCTACAAACTTTCTGAAAGTCTATTACATCTTAATCAACTTTCCGAGAATGCAATTTACCATATTCATTGCATTTTGTGATAATTGGCTACATTTATTTTATTTTTATGAATTTCTCATCTTTGACAGGCAGTTAATTGACTGTTGACCAGAAATTTTCATAGACCATTTCTGTTTATCATATGTTTCATAAGAACAAACATCTATAATGAAAACAATTACTCTTTGTCTTGCTACAAAATGTTCCATGTCTAACTTTTCCATTCTGCACACAGACAACTAATTACTCTACTTCGAGAATAGATCCCTGCTCTAAATGACTGCCATATCCAACAATCAGAATACTGTTTTGTAATGTGGTCCTACTCCGGTTCACATCTTTTATACAAAAATTAAAAGAGAGAGAGAGAGAGAAATGGGGTTTAACATCCACTAGGTCATTTCGGGACTAACATATGGTATAATTTTATTTCAATAATTCGCTTGCGCATAGGGGTCTTTAGCAGTGGGAGGAAACCGGAGGACCCGGAGAAAACCCACGAGGTTGGACAGGCGACCCTTCTCCTTGTCACGTACAACCGGGGATTCGAAACCACACCAGTCGACTCAATGACAGACTTTATGATACAGCGCGCGCATGCTAACCATTCAGCCATCCAACCCCCCACAAAAATTAAACCTTTTCAATATAATTAAATAAAAGCAGAATATATACTTCTCAAAATTCTCAAAATGTACTTAGTATTTTCGACTAAAATTGTTGATTTATGATTTCAAATGTCAGTCAACTAGCTTAGTGACTGTTTTTAAACGGAGCTAATTGTAGATTGACAGTGTAAGTTTAGTATGTAATTTTTCTGCACCAACCAGCTAATGAAGACTACAGTGTGCTATGATGGACATTTCTGATAAGAGGAATTAACCATGCTGGAAAATTCTCTGAGGAAATTTCTCCCAGACAACACAGGGAACGAACCTACATATGAACCAGCGTCATATCAACACAGAAATATCTATGGATCCATAGCTTTTTTGGTAGTATGACGATGTCACATGTTCATTATGCTCCTATTTAATGGTCTAACCTTCCAGAATATTTGGTAAATAATATCAGCATTTAATTCTGGAATGATTGCTGAGATCTGCTAATTAGTATGATGAATTTGAAGAATATGAAACATATCAGCATTTAATTCCAGAATAATTGCAGAGATCTGCCAATTAGTATGATGAATCTGAACAATTTGAAACATTAAGCATCATCGCAGATAATTGAAAATTAGTAAGAAAAGTTACTATTGTAGACACTTGGCCTTGAATAAAAGCATTAGGTTTCAAATGAAATCTTAAAAGATCAAAATCAATGATTGTCAAAATGTCTTTTTCTATGACAACAAAAATGGAAACCGTCAAGAAAGTCATCGATATTTGTGGAGTTCAAGAACAAAGTATGTTATAACCATTCTGCCATATCAATTTCCCTAAAACAAATAGAATGGATGCTGAACAATGTGTTAAATGACATCAAACAGTCTGAGAAGCATGTTTAGTCAACTCTAATTAGAGCTGACTTTAATCAAAAATACAGAATACGGTTGCATACCCATTATAGAATTATTTGTTTAAAGACTTGTGTAAAGCTGTTTGCAGCGAGAAAACTAATTAAGTCCATACAGACGAATCTCGAATCTACACATAGATGTTTCGTTAGGGTTTCCTTATAGTCCTTATATGGTTTAATAGTCTAGAACTGGTTGTATAATACATCAGTGAGCAGTTACATAAATAGAGAGAGAGAAATGGGGTTTAACGTCCACTTGACACAAACTAGGTCATTTCGGGACTAACACATGGTTCAATACATCAGTGAGCAGTTACATAAATAGAGAGAGAGAGAAATGGGGTTTAACGTCCACTCAACACAAACTAGGTCATTTCGGGACTAACAAATGGTTCAATTTTATTTCAATAATTTGCTTGCGTGTAGGGGTCTTTAGCAGTGGGAGGAAACTGGAGGACCCACGAGGTTGGACAGGCGACCCTACTCCTTGTCACGTACAACCAGGCAGGGAATCAAAACCCCGTCAGTTGACTCAATGACAGACCGTATGACACAGCGTGCACGTGCTAACCATTCGGCCATCCAACCCTCTCTGCTGGAGACATCAAAACAGGAAAATGTCTTTTAAGAAATAAATTTGCCACAGGCTATCTTTAAACGAGAAATAATGAATAATTATCCACAGGAGATGACATACATAAATCTTGTGAGTATCACATCTGGATCAAAAGGCCACATATTTTAATGACAATAAGATTTTTAAAATACAATTTTAAAACATTTGAAAAGACAACTGACAATTAGTAAGGCACGTGTAGACAACTTGACTGACAACCACATAAATAGGCTTCCTGAAGCTAGAGTACACTTATTATAATCACATCTATTGAATGCAATTACCGTATTTTAATCGGAATTACAGTAGCTATAGGTTTCTACAATGGTGTTGGTTTCAAGCCTAATACTGACAGGAAGAAAGTAAATACCTATGTACATAATAAATGAGAAAAGTTGTATCTTTAGATTAAATTTTCACCAGTTAAAATAAATGAAAAGATGAGCATACGCCATACAATGTGCCATGAGGGAAATTTTGCCTGGGCAGCAGCACTATGTATACACAGGGCCTCAGTTTTTTATACCATCCAAACAACTAGACATCTGTCAGTTAAAATAAAGCCCCTATGACTTGCATTCACTGATATGATGTAGTAAATATGTAGCATATAGCCTTTAAAAAACGTTGTCTATGTTATTGGAAATATTTTCCTTTTGTCGTCAAAATATCCCTTAAGAGTAAGACTGGATTATTTTATGGCATGCCGAGATAAAGAAAGACAGACGATTCCAATTTCCAATTCAATCCCTCATTATCTGAGGGATGATCTGTTTTTCACAGGCTTCCCGTCATCCCCCCATAGGCATTTCATTTACACAATACATTATTTTTTTCGTATCCGGACTGATCTGTACAGTTTCCATCTATCTCAGAGGAACGAAACATATGCCCACAGCAGGTAAGTTTTCCGAGAAGTACATAAAGGCGGTCACATTCTAATTTCTTTGTAGACAATGGGGGCATTTAGAAGACACTAGACAACTGAACAAAGACAACATCCCATAAGTATTACTAGAAATAAAGACAACTGAAATAAAGACAACTGAACAAAGCCAACTTCCCATAAGTATTACTGGAAATAATAAAAATTTTATAGGCTTCTATCTTTTCCTAGCATGAACATAAACAAAACCTTTATCTGTAATCAGTTAACTTCAGATATCGGAAATCATTGAAAAGTAATGGGCGCTTTAGTCTCAGGAACACAAACATTGTAGTGTATACATTTCAAGTCAAATGCATGATCAACTTCATCCTTTTGAGCCTGGGTTCCCAACCTCTGGGTCGAGACCCCACCTGGGGTCGACAAGCACTTTCTGTGAGGTGGCAGACAGATGAGTTGACCAACAGCGGTGACAATAATACAGAAACGTATTTCAAAGTAGGCGTTTTAAAATTTAAATACATGGTGCTATTCTACTTAGGATATAGATAATACACAAAACCTATTTCAACGCAGGCGTTTTAAAATTTAAAAAAATTAACAATGGTGCCATTGTACTGGTGATATTGATTACAGGATTATCCATCTATTGACTACTTTATCAGAGAACAAATTGAACAAATCCCTTTCTCATATCATATCGATCTTATACAGCCAGTCATAAGCTCTTGTATTAAACCCAACAATCTCAACAATGTAGACCTTTGATAATCAAGAGAAAATTTCATTATTCTTGGGAGTATGATTACGCTACATTACATTAGATTATGGATACATTTAAGTACAGCTTGCAGACACAAAAGAAAACCAAGCCTGCTTTTCTTTATTCTTTATAAAATTACAAGTATATGAACTTGATAATCAATTTTCAATTGTTTTGAGTAAACATTTTCAAAAATTCAGTATAAAATCATTGATCGATTAAAAAAAAATTGGTCAAACTCATTCTAGGTAAAAAAATTGATGAAATTTTTTTTTTTCCTCCTTCAAATATTATAATGATGAGAGGAGAGATCCTCGAAATTATCTCTCAAATTAGTCAAAAGTTTTTAAAAAATAGTTGTAGTGGTTAGGGACTTGTTTTTCAAATTTGGCAGAGATGCACAATTTTACGGGAAAAACATAAACCACTGACAGTCTAAGTACTTAAATTAAAAACCAAAAGATCCTAGTGTAGTACAGACAAACAAAATGAAATTTTGAACTATAAAAAAACAAAACGAAATTTTGAACTATAAAAAAACAAAACGAAATAGGATCTGTGTTTTAATCAGAATGATCAAGATAAATTCATTTTATATTTTTGACATTTATATTTTTTTCAACATTTATTTGCAGATTGTCAACATAAGAAGAAACAACATGTTGTTTTTCTATAATAAATATCCAGCAATGAATACATAATACTAATCAATCTGAAAAACCCAAATCATGACTTCATCGGATTACTTCAACATTTCGGTCTCAGATGACATTGTGGAAACGGAGAAACTTCTTCTTGATCCTGTATCTGATTTGGATGCCACCAACCCACTGATGAATATGTCTAATCTGACAAATGACTCCTCATCATGGATTCAACTTAAATCCTCTCCACCTCTGGCAGATTTATTAAAGGACTTTTATGAATACCAATTAGCGTTAAATTTAGTGATTTGGTTATTCCCTGTGATAATAATTGGAGGTACTATCGGCAATCTACTAAGCCTTGTCGTCATGTTACGAAGAGAAATGAGACAGACGTCGACATGTTTTTATTTGGCAACGTTAGCAATCACAGATACGTCAGTCTTGTATATCAGTGCTTTTAAAACCTGGATTCGGATTTTAACAGGATTTGAACTACTGCATGTATCCAATGCCGCGTGTAAAGGGATTATGTTTTTAGTGTATTTCTTTAATCATTTTTCCGCCTGGATTATAGTTGCTGTTACAATCGAAAGGTTTTTAGCCGTATGGTTTCCATTAAAAGCTGGAACTATGTGCAGTGTTTCTCGGGCAAAATTTGGAACGTTTGTGATTGCCAGTGTGTTTATTTTGGTGAATTCTCATTTATTCTGGACGGCCGAGTTGGTATCAACAACATCATCAATGAGTTCAGATCATTTAATGTGCATAGGATATGTATATAAGACATTTGTCTGTAAAGTATTTGCCTGGATAAATTTAATGCTCTACACATTTCTCCCATTTATAGTGTTGCTAATATTCAACATTTTGATTATAATAAATCTCCTGAAACATAGACAAGTTCTAACAAGCACCATGACGAAAGATGACCAACAAACGAGAAACAATCATCGAAAACTGGCCATAACCCTACTGACGATATCTTTTGTTTGGATCATTACAACCATGCCCTTCACTTGTCACGCCCTACTGAAACCCAAATCTCAGTCATATCATGATATAGCTGTGAATTTCTTGACCAAGTTTATATGCTATTGTTTGTTCTATACGAATCATTCCATCAATTTCTGTCTGTATTGTATCACAGGACAGCGGTTTCGACACGAGATGAGAAAACTCTTCTGTCGTAAACAAAAGAACAAACCCATTACTAAGATGACATTCAAAACGAGTGGTAGTGGCCATGACAGTTCTTACCCATTAATGGAGAACGTTTACATGGATGTTATCAATCATTCAAATACAACCGGTAAAAATGTACTACCATTACAAAGTAGCCAGCATGCTGCGGAATTAACACAATAGTGCCACAATTTCGACATCTGCGGCCTTAGTTTCTTTAAATGTTCTCTTTATTCTGATTTTAGATGTAAGAGTTAATTGTATACAGCCTGTACATAATTATTTCTTATTCCGGTTAATAATTCTTTTCTACAATAGGAAGGCATGGTGTTTGACATCTTAACACAATATGGACACTGTCGAGACATACAGTTAATGTGTGCAATGTGAGAATTTTGAGACATACAGCTAATGTGGGAATTTTGAGCCATACGGTTAATGCGTGCAATTTGAGAATTCTGAGACATACAGCTAATGTGGGCAATGTGAGAATTTTAAGACATATTGTTAATGTGGGCAATGCGAGAATTTTGACACATATTGTTAATGCGTGGAATTTGAGAATTCTGAGACATACAGCTAATGTGGGCAATGTGAGAATTCTGAGCGATACCGTAAATGCGCCAATTTGAGAATTCTGAGACATATACGGTTAATGTGGGCAGTGTGAGAATTTTGAGACATACGCTTAGTGCGTGCAATGTGAAAATTTTGAAACATACGCTTATAACGTGCAATGTGAGAATTTTGAAACATATCAATGTGTTAATGGGTGGACCCCTATTTTCCACCCCCTCCTAATGATTAGACAACACTATCCTTGTCAGTACAACTAAGTGAAATGAAATGAAATGGGGTTTAACGTCCTACTCCTAAACTGGGCTAATGCGACGGAGTACAACTAAGTACCACCTCCCATGCCAAGATTTCAACGCATGTTAATCTTATCTGGAGTACAGGGATCTCACCACTAGAAAACTGTGGCCCCCTAAAATGATAACCCTGCATAATTTAATCCAACTTATCCTTATTTATATTCAGTCAATTCAATACTATACGTACAATGACAACACACCCCCTCCCCCAAAATATCCTAAAGATGGGCCTTACCAGATTTAACCACGCACTACTACGCGCAAACAATATACAATATACGTATTATTTCTATCATGTGTATACAATAAACACAGCCATAAAACTTACAGAATATTCCACAAAACAGGCCGTAAATAAAAATAATCATTCAATTCCAAATGTTAGTGTGTTTTAGCTGCAAATTGGTTGTTTTGCTTATAAATTTGTTTTATTTTTTATACTTGTACATGTTTTTTCACTTTTTCCATTTGTTTAAATTGTCGCTTTTTATGTCTCAGTCATCAATAGGATTTTTGTCATACAATTTAAAGATACAATCCAACAGAACTATATGGGGTAGTTATTTCAGAGGGAGCGAGAGAGAGAGAGAGTTTAATTTCAACTGACACAAACTAGGTCATTTTGGGATTAACATATGGTTTAATCTGATAATATGATATAAGGGGGATTTGAAGTAAACTTTTCACAGATAAATTAGTTTTAAGTATGTTTTTAGTCCAAATATATTATAAAATCACACAATTTGTAAGCGGGAAGGCATCTTTAATTTATCTTTATCATCTGCAGGAAATGACAAATGTTACCAAATTTTCAATTCATCATATCTGTGTAATGTAACTTTTGGACTGACATTCCTTTTAGAGATTCCACTATCACAATATCGTAGTTCATAAGGGATGAAAAATCCTCAAATGATCATTAAAATAAAGTTTCCTCCCTTAAATGATCATTAAAATAAATTTTTATCCCTTAAATGATCATTAAAATAAAGTTTCAGCCCTTAAATGATCATTAAAATAAAGTTTCAGCCCTTAAATGATAATTAAAATAAAGTTTCAGCCCTTAAATGAACATTAAAATAAAGTTTCAGCCCTTAAATGATCATTAAAATAAAGTTTCTGCCCTCAAATGATCATTGAAATAAAGTGGCTATGTCAAAGTAGAAATTAATGAAAGTCAGTCGAAGACATAGTCAAATTTCAGATAAAATTTATTTATCATCAAATTGTACAAATACCCATCTGAATAGTCATAATTTGAGTGACTACAAGCAACTAGTCATGTTTTATATTGTACAGTGTAAATCAATGTATTGTTTTATTAATTTATCTCTAATTTCTTTGTTGTGTTTATGGATAAACTTTGTGATAATAAATATTTATACTTGTTAAATAGTTTATCTAATATTTATTTTTTTAAATCTTTTGCTGACAGGAGCTAAGATAGACCATACATGTTGCTGTCAATAAAAAGGATTATAAAAAGGAATGTCCTTGTATATAACCATCAAGATTCTACAATATGATCAAGGACACTATCTCTGGAAGTAATTCATTAATATTGTTGAAATTCATTTGTCTTACTAATCTAAAAATTGTGTCTTTTCCCCACTAACATGTCTCCTCCCACCACCCAAACCCTCACTCCATCCCCTCCCATCCTAGTTCAGAGATTCTCATGCCAAATTGTCACCAATGTTGTATGTACAAAGGTCAATTTAATAAAAGTTAAAATCTAATACAGGCTTGAGAAAATTCCCTTTAAGCAGTAACTTTATTTCAAGCACGTATTCAAGTTTAAATCCAACACAATTTGTTCCCACTCTTGCAAAATGATTGAAATAAAATTGATTTTTATGAGAAATTGACCATCACAAACATGTCTAACAATCTATTACTATTGACAATGACATAATGCTCACCTTGGCTATCTTAAACTACAGGGGCCTGTTTCACAAAATTTTAACTAAAATAAAATCCAAATTTTAGTAATTTAATTGGTCAATATTAGATTGTTTTTAGTGCTTAGCCAATCAAAATTTAAATATCTAGTAAAATTTGGATTTTATCTTTAGTTACAATTTCGTATTTATGCCCATCAAAATATAAATAGCTTCTCTAGATAAAGTCTGAGCTACCTACACATACTTTTCCTGTGCTGTTAAATTACTTTACATAAAATGTGTTTAACCAGTTTAATCACACAAACAGTGATTGTTTACCATAAAAATTGTGTTCTGTTAATGTGTTTCCAAATCGCTAAATGCCACTTAAAGATCATTTATTCCTTTAAGTCCCTATTGTGGTTAAATCCAAACGTAAGTTAAATTTTTATAAGCCTTTTTTTTTGGTACATTAAAGCTTTAAACTAAAATGAGCATCATATAGAAGAAGGAAAAATTATTTTTGAATAGAGAAATGGAGTTTAACGCCCACTCGATACAAACTAGGTCATTTCAGGACTAACGTATGGTTTAATTTTTTAGTTCAATAATTCGCTTGCGTGTAGGGGTCTTTAGCAGTGGGAGGAAACTGAAGGACCCAGAGGAAACCCACAAGGTTGAACAGTATAGCAAGAAAGATTTTATAATATGATCAAGGGCAATAACTCTAGTATTAATTCTTAGATATTGTTGAAAGTCTATAAATATACTAATTTGTCTCAATCTGAACAAATTTCAGGCATAACAAATGATATCTTTTATTGTTAGAAGATTATAACATGATATTGAGACTAACATATGGTTGTGCAAGGTGAGGGGGAGAATTTAGCCCAGACAGCAGTATTTCAGCGTACCCTTTTTTGATTTGATTTCCAACTGCTTTAACAACCTCATAAACTTTTTATTGTCTTGTTAGTGCAGCAGAAGAATATTTCATATCTGATTTCCCACTAGTGTCTCTTTCTACTAATTTTTTCTCACCTTCTCCCATCCTAGTTCGGAAATCATGATACCAATAATGTGTCTTTTACCAATAATTGACTTCCCCAACCTAGTTCATCTATATGTATACCAAATGCTTCTTTATCCAATTGTTTCCCTCTAGGTTTTCCTACAAACTTGTCTCCTCCCACCACCCAAACCTCACTGCAACACCTCCCACCAATTAGCTGAGAGATTCTGATACCAATTGTCGCCAATTTTGTCTGTACAGAGGTCAATCTAATACTAGATTAAAACCAACACATACCATTTCAGCAGTAACTTTATTTCAAGGTTCTATCCAACCCAATTTGTTCCCACTCATGCAAAATGATTGAAATAAAGTTGACAGAATGAAAACCTGTGTACTAAGGCAGTCACTAACATGTTTAATAATCAACTGCTATAATAGAGGGATTGAAATGGGGTTTAACGTCAACTCGACACAAACTAGGTCATCTTCGGACTAACACATGGTTTAATTTTATTTCAATAATTCGCGTGCGCATAGGGGTCTTTAGCAGTGGGAGGAAACCGGAGGACCCGGAGAAAACAGAGAAAACCCACGAGGATGGACAGGCAACGCTACTCCTTGTCACGCACAACCGGGGATTTGAAACCATGCAAGTTGACTCAATGACAGACCTCATGATACAGCGCGCACATGCTAACCATTCGGCCATCCAACCCCTCAACTGACATAATGCCCTCTGTGATATTACACATACTTTCGCTTTACTGCTAAATTACTTTGGAAAGATCTACTAAGTCACCCCAAATTCTACCGATTTTAAAGTTTTCCATTTATTAATATAGAATAAAACGTGGGTTACATATTATTATACCATAATCAAATATCATAAAAATGATTATGTACAGGAACCAATTAACTTTTAAGCGAGAAAATTGTTTAGCGCAAAGGAAATTCAATTAATTTTTAATGAGAACTATCAATAAAGGAATAGCAAGATAATAATGAAAATGTGGAAATTGATTGCTAGTATTTCCACCAGTTTAGCTTTAGGACTTGTTTTTATACTAGTATTCTGATATTATTAGGCTGGGTACGTGATACTAACGGATGTTACAAAATTTATCCGCCCTCTTAAATCAGTTCACTTTATTTAAAAGAAGAAACTCATACAACCATAATACAAATCATCAGAAACTGAGTTGCATTTCATTTCTCTTAATTAATGGTTATGAAAACATCTTCTGAAACACTTTTTTTGTTCAAATGTATACAGGGGTAACAAGAAATAAAACTTCTTTGAAGGCTTCATCAAATACTATTCTAAGAGAGAGAGAAATGGGGTTTAATGTACACTCAACATAAACTAGGTCATTTTGGGACTACCATATGGTTTAATTTTATTTCAATAATTATTTTAAGAGACAGAGAGAAATGGGGTTTAATGTCCACTCAACACAACCTAGGTCATTTTGGGACTAAGATATGGTTCAATTTTATTTTAATAATTCTTGTATACGGTATGGAGTCATTACATCCTAACATGGCAATAATTGGTAACCTACTTAATGCATGGTCAAAGAAGGACTGAACAAAGAAAATATAAATTTTAAAATAAAGTCTTGACAATTGTTCAGTTTATTTTCAAGGGAGATCATTATGTATGAATAAGTTTAATTGGTGGTTATTAATAGCTAATAATTATGAGCGCATAAAGATTGAAAAAGCTATCACACAACATATTTTGTTGCCCAGTGAATATTATTTTAATCAACAAGGAATATGATTAAAATATTCTGTGATGGGATCGACACTTGGCACCATTTGCATTTCCTTGATTATAGAAAATAATTTGAGATACCATTAGGCATGGTTATGTATTTACGGGATTATCAAAGTAAACATTAAATACATTAATAATTTGGATCTTCAAAGAGCCTGCCGGATTCTCATAGAGCTATGGATGTTCAGGATAAGCTAACAAGTTGATTGACTTCTTAATCGATAATTAGTAATTAACTCCTTGAAATTGAGCTGAAAGTAGATTGATTTATGGTAGTTGTGGCTCGTTTAAATATTAAGTGGCTGTTTTCTGAAAACTGCCAATGAAGAGCCCTGAATAAAATAGTCAAAGTCATCCAGTCCGCTATAAAGGTTTTCTATCTTATAATATTTTAAACAGAAATGAAATGAAATGGGATTAAACATCCTACTGTACTGCTCCGACTGGGCTAATGAAGACGTCCATATGTCATACAGTGTGCTTTGATGGGAATTTCGCCTGGACAGCGGCAATACAGCCTACTCTTATATCGAATTCCAATTGTCAAGGGATCTTTTACTTGCACGCCAATGTGTACACGGAAAACCATGCCAGAAAATCCTGATGAACTCTCTCTCAGCCAACACCAGAATCGAATCCACGACCTCCAGGGGGGTTGGATGGCTGAATGGTTAGCGTGCGCGCGCTGTATCATAAAGTCTGTCATTGAGTCGACAGGCGTGGTTTCGAATCCCCGGTTGTACGTGACAAGGTGTAGGGTCGCCTGTCCAACCTCGTGGGTTTTCTCCGGGTCCTCCGGTTTCCCCCCACTGCTAAAGACCCCTATGCCCAAGCGAATTATTGAAATAAAATTAAAAACCATATGTTAGTCCCGAAATGACCTAGTTTGTGTCGAGTGGAGTTAAACCCCATTTATCTCTCTCTCTCCACGACCTCCAGACTAGCGAGCCAGCGTCTTACTTACTCACAAGCTGCTGTAGCTCCTATTTGAAAACAGAATTTCTTATCTCCAGATTGATCAGACAAAGTTAATATATTCTAAGAAATATAAATATTCTGTTAACCTAATATCATTTGTTTAACAAATTAAATACAATTATTTCATTCAAGTTTTCTCTCTCTGGTCATATAACAACACACCCACATGAGAGAGAGAGAGAGAGAGAGAGAGATAGAGAGAGAAATGTGGTTTAACTCCACTCGCCACAAACTAAAATATTTTGGGACTAATATATGGTTCAATTTTATTTCAATAATTTGTTTGCGTGTAGGGGTCTTTAGCAGTGGGAGGAGCCCAGAGAAAACCCACGCGATTGGACAGGCGACTGTACTCCTTGTCACATACAACCAGGGAATCGAAACCACGCCAGTTGAATCAATGATAGACCTTATGATACCACGCACAGGACTATACTATATACCGGAAAACACCGGAAAACTACCGGAAAACACCATGTTATACTGAATACCAGAAAACACCGGAAAAAGCTAAGCTTAACCCAAACCCCCTCACACAGAGGACCAGGCTCAGGGTTACCTATGGTGTTTTCCGGTAT